TACTCTACAGGTAAATATAAATACCTAATTTGTGACACAGCAAGTTTTCTCTCACCTAATACAAATAGTTCTTCTTCCTGTGGTCATTCTCTCACTTGGTGTCACTGGAGCACACCTTCTGGACACCCAGAAATCTGTGCTTTGTTCTAGATTCCCTTAAGGCCTCAATTCAAAGTGTTTCTGGTTCACTTTATATTTTTTGACCCTTCCGTTCCACTGTCCCCGCTGCCTAACGACCTTCTGTGGAAATGGAACATACTTTCTTCCAAAGTCTACCGCAGTGCCTTGCTGTGGGTGGACCGCCTTCTCTGGGTGCCTCCTCTGCCCTGGGTGGTTGTGTCATTTCTCCCTAGTGATGCTTTCCCCAGTGCTGCAGTGACTGCAAAGTACTTACGCCCCCCCATTCCGATTGGCTGATTTAGTGCCTCATCTGCATAAGCTGAAGTATCCATGATTACTGATTGGCTGAACAAGTACAACTGTCCTTTACCTCCTTCGAACACTTGTCTTGTATGCCACCCAGAGACAAAATAAAAATCCAGTTATTCAAGGGAAACTATATTGAATATATAAGCATTGAGTTTCAAAGGGCTTTGTAAAGTTATAGAGCTTCTTCTTCTTTTTATGTAGTGTCTATTTGTGCGTGCGGTTAAAGTAGGATAATAATGATTTCCTAAGATTTGCCTTTAAATGTGATTCATCATTTTGTTTTAATATCTCACTAATTGAAAGTACTAACGTTGTCATCAGTCAAACCTAGTTCAAATTCTAGTTTCCCACTTAGATTATTCTCATTCATTGGTTGTAAGTAATTTTCACCTGGAAGTAGCCATGAGTCTTATACCTCTGTGTGTGTGTGTGTGTGTGTGTGTGTGTGTGTGTGTGTGTAACAGCAGCAGCAGCAACAGCAACAGTAGTTATAGTAAGACTTAATGACTTGAACTAAGAAGTCAAGGGAGAATCCTGAAGATGTCATAGTCAGCAACCCAGCCAGGGTTGACACTTCAGCCATTCTGAAAAGATGAGAGGCTGACTCCAACATACCCTGCTCCACTTTCTCACTCAAGTTCTCTCTCTCCCCCCACTTCAGCATGCACAGAGGAAACCAAGGCAACAGGGCAGCTTATCAGTCCTCAACCAGCATTGGATAGGAGTGAGAGGATAAATGTCCCAGCCTTTTCTGTCCTCCAGTGAAATGATTCTGAACCTTGATTTCCCTTCTTTTTCTCAGAGGGTCTCCACAGAGACAGGGTCCAACTGGTTATAGTGATAACACATCCAATATGGTGCCTATTACTAAATTTTCTTTATATCACTTCTTCCATATCCTTTATCAAATGCATTTCAGATTAACCTTTGCTAAAGTGTCTTTTATGTGGGTTGGTTTTGGGTGTAACCAAAACTAAACTAAGGCTTGAAAAATATGGAGATGATGACTGTCCAAGGTTGTAATACTACTGATCTAATCCAAAGAGATGTCATCTATTAATACAAGAGTCAACATTAAGTGCGGCAAGTTTCTAAAATACCTGCTTAGGCAGATGCAGGGACCAGGGTTTTATCCCCAGTGTGCCATGTCCCTCACTCCTGGGGCACACTGAGACTGTGACTGAGACTGGGCTTGGTGGATCATGCCTGTAATCTCAGCACTTGGGAGCATGGATCACTATGAGTCTGATCTATGTAGGGAGACCCTGTAGACCCTGTACTAAATACATTAAAAAAAAGAGTGGCAATTTCCTCAAACTAAAAGATACTTTTAATGACAGGTTAGAATATGGAGCATAAGCAGAAAGTTTTGAAGAAGGAACTAATTAGTGTTTCACCTTAGAGCTCCTTTTTACTTTCATTAGGTTGACATTATTTCTAGGGACAATGGGATTCTAGACTGAGTGCTGAAATAAATAGATGATGTACTAGATACTATAATTTAAGGGGAACTAGAGTTAGGAATGTGATGAGGAAGCTATAGCAAAATTAGTGATGCACAGTTGGGGAAAAGCATCACTAGTGACCACAAAACACATGTATTTCAGAGCTATTTAGAAGATACCATCTTCCTAAATTGCTGCTGATACTTTGTATTAGGCGATAGCAGGTCATGTTGATGAGGTAAACGAATCCTTCAAACAGTGAAGCATTTGCATCTGATGTTGTTCTTCAGAATGACAGATTGGTAAATTGTTTAACAAATCATTTATTTCTCATTAAAAGTCTTTTGGTTATATGTGTATTTATATACTTTCATCTAATACCAAATATATTTAAATGTCACAGTGGGTGAGAGAACTCATGTCCTATCTTTATACTGTAAACACCACTGCACTCGGACCAGCCCTTATCCTTATACTGATGCCGACAATAATTGAGTTTCTTAGTGATAGCTGCTCAAACCAAACTGTTTCTGGAAGAGAGAATGTTTGATGGTGTAAATTTTACAGTTTATGGATAAACACGGAAACAATTAAAATGACAGGACACTCACTGCAGCAAGTGTCTCTATAAAATTTTTTTGAAGGGTGTGTGAGTGAGGAACGGCAGGACCAGAAAGGTGGAGTGTGTGCATCCCTTAGGTCCTCATCAGGGCAGGCACTGGCCACGAGTGTTTTCCTATCAGCCTTGCAATTCAGGAGTCTTGCTCATCGCTGCTCAGGACATGTCTTCACTTTCAGAATATGCCTTACGCATGAGTCGCTGAGCGCCCACCTCTTTGGTGAGGTTGCCAAGCCAACCTCATGGACTGGAAATCCATGAAAGTGATGAAACTTCATTGAGCAGCTGATGCCTAAGAGGAAGGAGACCTACGACTGGTACCCAAGCCACAACATGTATTTCATACTCAAGGGCACATCCAGTTGCTTGCCCTCAACAGAGATGAGCATAAGGATTTTAAGGATAAACAAAATTGTCTTCTAAAGAAGTTTCATTGAACGGGGAAACAAGGAAAAGAGAATGAAAAAGAACAGTGAAAAAGAAATAGTGTTAGCCATCATGACAAAATTTCTGCCTCAGTGACTAAGAAAAAAGTGTACTTACTGTCTTTCCACATATTAGAGTCTAGTCTTCCTCAGTGAAGGCTATTTGAAACATAATCTTCTGTGTGGAAATCTAATCCAGTTGCATTGTGCCTGGTTTCTTGAATACACTGAAATCTCAGAAAATTATATCATCCTTAGTTTTTCAATCTAAGGTTTACCTGAGTCCCTATTGGAGTAAATGTATAGTTTATTGTTCAGTGACTTCTTTGGAGAGGGTATGGAATGCCTGGGGAGTGGAGAAGCAGCCTCATTAAATGAATACCCAGAAAAAAAAAAAAATTCTTCTAGTATCTTCTTTGAGCTAAGTTTATTTTGGCTTTGCGGCTATCATCTTAGTGGTGTTAGTGACCGCTCTTTTCAGATAGTGCAGTGGAAAAGGTTTTGTTGTTCTTCTTAATCAGCCTAAAACAAGAATGCAAAGAAATCTTTTATGAAGGTGTGGCTTTCACTAAAAAGGAAAAGAACCTAACTGAAACTTCTGAAAATTGTCAACTTCTGAAAATTAATTTCATGCCAAATAAGTCACTAGAAATTTTTTATGAGTACTGAAAAAGTAATCATTTGCAAAAAATGAAAATAATTAGTTTCTAATAAATATATTTCTCTATTTTCTCTTACATTTGTGTATGGGGAAAGATGCAATATAGAAATTTCAGAATTTTTACTTGATAGCCTTTTGCTATAGGTAGCTTTTAAATGGTACTGGGCTCTAAACCAGCTAAGTATATATCCTTTGCATTGTTCCATTTAATTTCATCATATTTGTTACTACTTAATGTTTTCTTCCAGTAACAATATATTAATTTCATATTTCAAAAATATTAGGTAGCTAGAAGTTTTTTGTCTCTTTTAAACATTTTTTATGTTTAATTTTGAAATATCAACACGTCTTTCTAAATGTTTGCCTGTATTTGAAATATGAAAGCAATTGTACACACACATGTGTATGTACATGTGTGTATCCTTTTTTCATATTATGAGCCCAAATCTAAGTCTTCTTTGTGACAAAAGACACAATTAATGAACTTCTTATTTTTGTCCTATAGTACCAAGTAAAAGTAGCTCTGTAACAGATAGTATTACTTATCTTACAGTTCTATGGTTTCAAAAATGGATATACTATGCTTACTCTGAAAATCTCATTGTATAAAAAGAAACTCTTCAGTTCTAGATATGTAGGTATAAATATATTCTTCCATGACATTGTCTTTCATTATGAAATATGAAAGAAAAAAATGAATAAGTAATAGCATAAAACCTTTTGATTTTTCATTCAATACGTCTTGGTGTGCAACATGCTCTACTATTTTGGAGGAACTTATCAAACCACAAAGCAGGCCAATGTAAATATCTCATCAGAATTACACAATAAAGTGTAGTACCAGTGGCAGAGAGAACAGCTCGTTTTTATGCTGGTCATCGTGGTGCATATTATGATCCCAGTCCCTTGGGAGAATGAGAGAGAAGGATCTCGAGTTTAAAGCCAGCCTGGGAAAGCTAATAAGACCATGTCTCAAAAGTAGAGTTCAATCCCTGGTTCTGCAACAACAACAACAACAACAACAACAACAACAACAACAACAACAATGGCTAGAGGTGTAGTTCAGTGATCCCAGGATTCAATCCTTGATAATGTAAAAAAACACATAATAGTAGCAGCAGTGGCAGAAGCAAAGACAACAACAAACTTTTCAGGTAGTCCTTGTAAGTTAGGAATAGATCAATAGATTCTAAGAACCCAAATTTGTTTTGTTTTGTTTTTTGTTTTTTGTTTTTCTGTAAACTTTAAACATTTATCAGGAAAAATATTCTTTAGTTCCATCAATAATCTAATTTATAAACGTCAACTCTGATAATAATAGGGCAAAGTAGAAACATCTCCTTTTAATGCATAAGGCCCTTTGTTTTATGTTTATTATTTTACCCTTTATTGATTTTCATCTCTGGTGTTGTTCTTTGCAGAGAGTGAATCTGTCCTTCGATTTTCCATTTTATGGCCATTTCCTACGTGAAATCACTGTGGCTACCGGGGGTAAGTGGCTTTCTACCCATTCACCTTAAATAATCTACAGTTTCACTGCAGCCATTATTTTTAATTTACCCCATATTTCAAAAGGACTATATTGTGAAAATCATTATCTTCTAGCACAAAGTCGTAAGCATAAAAAAGAGAGGTGATATTGGAAAGATTTTCCAGAAGAAAAATAAGTATATCGATTATAATTTCAGCTTCAATTTACTTCTGCTTTCTTGCTAAATTTTAGTTCACCTTTTGGTATTATAAGACTACACAAAATACTGGGATGGAAGTAGAAAAGGTGCTTAAGTGAACTGTGGATTTATTTTTATATTATTTGAATGCATGCATTTGATACAGGTGTATATATACATATACAAAACCACATGTATATCATCTTAAGGTTTTTTTTTCCACTTTAAGGTCACCTATGCTGACTGCATTTCATATAAGAGTATCAAATGAAAACACTTAAATACAATTTGAGTGTGTGTGTGTGTGTGTGTGTGTGTGTGTGTGTGTGTGTGTGTTACTGGGAATTAAACTCATGACCTGACACTTACCAGACAGATGCTGTGTTGCGGAGCTTTAGCCCTGGTCCCTAGTTTAAATTTTTGAAATTTTGCTTTTCTTCACAATCTTGGAAGTTAAATGTTAGTGATAGTCTGAGATTACAAATACCTTAAACCTAAAGTGCTACAAATAAAAGATGATTGCAATGCCAGAGAATGCTCCTGGAGGTCTTAAATATTAGGACCAGAAAGTAGAAGTTAAAAAAAAAAAAAAGCAACAATAGAAAAAAGAAGCAAGTAAAAGGAAGTCCACAGGTATAATGAAGAGATACAAGCATCTGTGCTAGAAGAACAGGAGACGAGGGTCTTTGCCCTTCTCTGAATCTCGTAATTGGTCTTCAGGATGAATGGAAGCCGTGCTGATCTTTTTTCCCTATGTTAAGATTTAGAAAATATGTAAGATTCAGGATAAAAGAATCTGTAGTCATAAGTTTCAACAAAATTTTCTGATCACCTACTCTGAACTAAGGTAAATTAAATTTTGCATTCTTTTGGAATGCATAAACATACAGAGGACTGGACAAAGTAAAGCATAAATGGAAATCAAGTAAAATATCCAAAGATACGCAGAAGAGGAAGTGGTAGAGTATTTTGGGATGGTAGATAATTGAGTTTGAGTAAAGGCAGGACATAATAGGCTTATATGATTAGAAAAGTAGTTTCAAACAATTTTCCATAACGCCTTAAGAGTGAGCTTTGCTTTGAGTCCTTAGTCCTTGAGCAGGTAAGTGATAAACTTTAGAAGACTGAATCTAGACATTTGGGTAATGTCATGAATTGTAGGCCTTTTGGACTTCACTTGCTTGGAAGAACACTGCAAGAGGCCTATGTGAGAGGCTTTGATTATTCTTTTGCTGTTTGCATCAGTGAGAGTCAAGCAGAGGAGCTGGATTTGTTGAAAGATAATAACTTTACTTCTGAAATTACTAAATTCTGTGCAAAAAAAGGGCTATAACTAAAATATAGAGGCCTATGTCTTTTAAGTTCACTGTAGGTATACTAGTGTAGTGCTAGGTGTTTGGGAGACTAAATGGAAAGGTGGAACTTCTACCTTTCCAGTAGAAGCCATGTAAGCCCAGTAAGCCATGAATCACCATCACCACCCCTGTCTTCTTATATGATATAAATACGATGACATTAAAATATGGATATTGGCCGTGTTTTCTCACATTTAAGTGATATGTTCTATTAAATTTGAAAAAGTGAATTCCCAATATGTGTTTAAAATCTGTGCACACAGTGGTAAACATAAGGGTAGCTTTGCATTTTCAATTTTACAACTGCTTTAACTTGAATCTTCATGTTAGTGACTCTGCTGCTAAGAATTAAGACTGCACATAGTGCAGTGGATGCTAGCACACTTAAGCAGATGGCTACATCATCTTTGCTGCTTCAAAGTGCCATTTTCCTTTAAAAGAGCCTCAAAATAAGTTTGAAAAAAATCTGGCATCTTGAATGCTTCTTCTTGGAAATAAACACTAAAGCAAAGATACTCTCTTGTTTCTCTTTTTTCCCCTCTAATAAAATATGGTGGTATAGAATTTGCTTGTGTCTCTATATCTCACTTAGATAGGCATAACCAAGATAATTTAGACACTGGACTTTGAAAATGCAACAAGACTCTTCTGTAGAACTTTTCATAGGTTCCTTTCTCATTATTCATTCAATCAACATTGATTGGGACCCTATGAAAGGCTCTATACAAGAGGCTATACAAGAGGCTTACAAATTATACAGGAAGCTTTAAAGAAGTGAAAAAGTAAGGTATGCTTGCTATAAGAAGCTTAGCATCTGAAAACAGGAAGGGACATGATATAAATAAAACACTTAAGATGAGGTTGGCTATAAGAGCTAAAGAAGCAGGAGGTGGCTCAAAAAATATTCTCTTTTGGACACTGAAGAAGTAGCCAATAGTTTTGTGAAATAGCCAATACTTGCCATTGACCTACATGAAGACAGAACTTTAGTTGGTAAAGAAACTATTTGATAAAAGTTGGATCAGGGAAGAGGTTTCAAACAAGAGGATGTTGAGCTACATGACAGTGCTGAGGGTCATCCAATCAATTATTTAATCGCAATTGGAAAGTTAGAATGAGTCAGCTAAGGTAGCAAGACTAATGTAGAGCCACTGGAGCATCAGTAACTGGAGATAGCCTGCAGGTGTTGTGTTTCTTACAGCAGATCCAGCCTGAGCTTATAGGGAAAGGCAAGGTGCCATTAGATCAATGTAAAGAAAGCAGATAGGATTTTTCAGTGCTGTGTCCTAGTTTGTTAGGGCATAAATGAACTAGGACAGGTGCAGAGAAAATGGAGAGAGGAGCTGGGGCAAGACTCCTCATTTTAGTTGTTTAATCACTGTGCTTGGAAAGGTTTACAACTGCAAGGACCCTTTAGGATTTATTTTTTAAAAATCTAAGAGCTAAGAGAAGTTCTGAACCACAGATTTGGTGAATCTTTTCTGTGATTGACTTACAAGTAGACAAAACTATCTGACAAATACTCAACTACCTGGAGAATCTTAAATTTGTGATCAAATATGGAAGACTTGGAAGAAAAGTAGAAACCAGATTAAGTAAAGTCAGATGAAATAAAGTTGATTGAAGAACATTCTAAATAGGCAGGGGCTGAGAGGTTTAAATAAAAATGTATTGCTTTCCTTGTATTGACTGTCAATTCTCTTTGACTGTGCTTCTACCTATTTCTTTTCTGCACTGGGCGTAGGGAAAATAACAAAGGGAAATGTTTCCTTGACGAAGACAAGCTGTGAAAATAAACAAAGTGGATACTTTAAACCACAGCCCTCTTTATTTCCCTACTTTACCAGTTCCCACGCCTTCTTCAACTCTTTCTCTCTTCTCCACCCCACACAGTGACCCAAATTTAGTTAAAAATGAAGTTAACATCAAGCTAATGCCTTGTGTTAGTACCAGGATCACATTTTCATGGCAAAACGGAGTAAACACAGACATATTCATGATTCCCTGTGCTCCGTCTCTGTATTTCATATATACTTTATTATAATCTTAAGTTTCTGGATAAAAAGTGAATTAAAATTAGACATTAGATCATTTATGTATAAACTGCAAAAATAAAATCTCTGCCTATTAAAACTTTTAATATTCAAAAGCTTCAATCATCCATAGAAATAATGCATAAAATGAATTTAAAATAACATCTAATTTTCTGGTTCACTGATGGCAGATTAAGCAAACATCTACTTATCTTTCCATTAAAAAATACTTCAGAATATATATATATATATATATATATATATATATATATATACACTGAGCATTAAAAAGTTAGTCATCTGGGCATTTCATAAAAATATTTCCATTAATAGCTATCTCTAAGATGTTTTTCACTTATTGTTTTGCTTGCTTGCTTTTTCTATGAGTATCTTAATTGGTTCTTTTTATTATTAGGCTGCAAAAGTCATAAATGGTACAGCTGAGTGTGAGAATTTAAGTTTTAATTCTGGTGGCCACCAGTAATAAGGATATGTTTATGTAAATCTATCAGGTGCACATGACTTTGATGGATTCAGGGTGAGGAGATATGTTAATTACTATTTTATATCATAGGAAGGAGAATAATTGTAGTAATTTGGATAACCCTCACCCCAAAACTTAAATATGTGGACAGATGGCAATTTGTAATTAAAATATGTGTGGAATTGCAAGCAGTTGGACATGAGATTAGAAATCAAATGTGACATGAATTAAAAAGCTAGTGTGTAATATATATTACTTATATTACCTACTTAACTGTAGGACAGATTTATTCTCTTTTCCTTTCTATGCAAATTTCTAGTTGTAGATTTCATTTTAAAATGTTGAAAACCTTAGAGCTACTTTGTTTTCTCCCACATGGTAACTAATAAAATATAATTTTTTCATCAAGTAATGAATTTTTAAAATTAAAAAGTACAGTCACATTAAAACAGACAAAAGTAAAAAAATAATTTGCTTTCTTCCTCTGCTTCCTAGTTTACCAGCTCCTTTTCCAAGAAAAAAAAAAAAACTTACATTTTTTTTGGTATATTAAATTCCAATTCAGGGTAATATTCTCTATCTTATCAGTAATTACTTGTTTTTCCCTTTGTAATTTTTTGCTTATCCTTGTAAATCCTTAATAAGACAGACTTTTTAAAAATTGCACATATTATCTTGATTGACTTTTCAGGAAGTATATTAACAAATTTTCTGGGTTTTTTGTTCTGCTTTTCAAATAATACTTTAATTATAGGGCCAAATAATATTTTATGCTTTTTAGACGACTTGATTAATAACAGAAATAAAAGGCTTTTCAGGACAGGAAGAGAGTGAGCTATTACTCGTGATGACTGATTTCCAAACACCAACCTCATCTTGTTGCAAGAGCATAACCTCATAAAACTGAACTTCATGCATCCATGAGCGTTCTGAACTAGTGCGACAGCGA